CCTTTACAGCAAGTATTACCCAGACTTTCACTGGCCAGTTAATTTGTGTATTGTCTGGGTCCTCCACTAAAATCTAAGCTCCAGTTAGCCCCAATTCCAAGAACAATGCCTGGCACGTAATGGGCACTTAATATTTATTGAATGAATTAATCAAAAACTCATTCTTCTGAACCTTTACAATACTCTCTTGACATCCATTTCATATACTTTGCATTCCTAGTTATATTTTCATACACGTGATCTAGTTTCCAGTGTGTTTTGAAAGATCCTTAACATTCTTAACTCCCAGTTAATTCTCAGAGTCAACTGGATTCATTTTTATTTTTCAAATTTCTTTTTGGAAGTTTTCTTCCAAAGAACAAGGAAAACAAATTGCCTATATATATTTAAAGTAGAATCAAATTTATTGTTTTGCAATTAAATAGAGTGAACTCTTTTATAAGTCTATATTAAGGGATCTTGGTGGTCTTATTTTCTCTGTAAAACATTTTTCTATTTAATCATCCTAGGAATTATCACATCACTACTTGTCAAGAATTCCAATCTATACTAAAAAATGTGAAAATGTAAAAATGGTATTGAGGGAAGGTGTTCTCTTTCCAGGTCGACAAGGGGGTGTAGTTTTAAGGGCAAGAACTTCCCAGCTCCATGATCCCTCCCATCTCTCTCCATCTGGGAGGTTTAACAGTCTCAGCTGGCGTGGGAAGAATCAAAAATCAATCACTCCAGCGGAAGTTCTAAAGAACTCCTTTCATTGGCCAGAGGTCTTGGAGAAGGTTGGGTTCCCTCCCATGTTAAAAGTCCCCTTCTTCCACACCCCTTTGGACTCCATGTTTGGATCCCCTTCCACACACACACACACACTCTCTCTCTCTCGGAAGTCTTCTCTCTTCTCCTGTTTTTCTCTCTCTCTAAATAACTTTTCTGCAACACTTCTTGGGTCTAGTATTTACTTTATGAGCTTACGGCACACCTGCCGTGGTCCCTAATTCCTGAGAGGGCAAGAGCCGAAGAACCTACAACATTATCTGGGGGACGCTGTGCCTCCCCAGCACCCCAAAACCCAGTTACAGTATTGCCTAGAAGGACAATGCAAGAGTCAAGCCACCACGATTGCCTCATCTTTTATTTTTCTCATTTCTTTACCAAACTATTGCATCGTGCTTCAAGAAGATACACAAAAAGTCTGGAAACACCATCTTTATGGACTTTTTAAAGCTTTCTTTGAACACAGTTCAGGGTTAAGAATTTTTCAGGTTCTTAAACTTTAATGCTCATCAGTCACCTGGGGATCGTGTTAAGGTACAGGTTCTCATTCGATTGGTCTAGATGGGCTTTGAGTTTGCATTTCTAACAATCTCCCAGGTGATACTGAAGCTGCTGGGCTAAAGGCCACATTCTGAGTAGCAACAATTAGACCATGCATGAGCTCTTGAAACTGGATTAGATTATAATTAAAGGACTGAATTTTTGATGTGTTTCTATTATAAAAATGCCAAGTCCTTGCTTACTTTCTACAAATCAAGTATTTCATTATGTATCTATTCGATGAAATCCAAACTTGTTTATACTTATTATATAACCATTAATTTCAAAGCATTTAGTAATGAGTGGGCTATACAAACACACTTAGATAGTATCCATGTTGCTCCAAACAGAAATAAAATCTCTGGTTTACTTGCATTTTACTTCATATTTGCTGTACCTGAATACAGTATTCTGAAAGTGGTCTGCTTACGGAAGAGTACAAAGAGGCTTGGGCCTTCTTAATTGGAATATTATACTTCTATTACATTATCATAAGATTACATTAAGACACTGCATCAGCTAGTCCTTGCCAATAAACATCACTAGGTTATTTTCATGTTAACTACTGTTGAAATCAAGTCTTGCCATTCTACACTTATATAGCACATTTTAAAAATTTAAATGTGATTTAAAAATTTTATCCCTATTGAATTTATCTTCATTTCAGCCTCATCATCACACGCCAACAGGTTAGTCCAAATTCCTAAATATAGACTTGTTTTCCCTCTGCATTTAGTATATTTTAAAATTTTGGCACCTTTATTCAAATTATTAATAAGTTACATAAACTAGATAAATAAAAGCCTCAAAGAATTTCTATAGTTCTATAAGCCTTAAAGAATGCTTTCCTCTAAGAAGTGAAATCAGATAACAGAAAGAACAAACTTTGCTTTCTGGAATTTGATTTAGAGAAATAAATTGTTTACAAACCCCAATCTACTTGGGTATGCATGTATGTACAAGTACATATAGTATACACATAGGACAAATGTCAAAGAGCACACATCAAAATGTTAACAGTGACTACTGCTGGACAGGCAAGAATGGTGGGCGGGAGGAGAAGGAAAAGGGAGGGACTAACTCTTTACTCTGTATATGTCTGTATCATTTTAGTTTAGGTTTTTTTTTTTGTTTTTTTTTTTTCTGGTAGAACACTTAAGATGAAGACCAAGAAATGATCATTGAATTTGGCAATGGGGAGGTCACTGATGACCTTGAGGACCTGTTTTGGTGGAGCAGTGGTAGGGAAGGGCTAACTGGAGAGGGCTTAAGAAAATAATAAACGAGGAAATGTAGACCTGAAATATAGATTAATTTTTATAAGGAATTATTTTTTTTATTTTTATTTTTTTAGAGGAGAACGAGAGAAAGAAAAATAAAAAAAAAGAAAAAGAATAAAGGAAAGGAAAAAGAGGAATAGGAAGAGGGAGAGAGAACAGGGGTGTTGCTTTATTGCCCGGGCTAGAATGCAGTCTAAAACTGGGTATGCCTGTAATTGTGTTTAATAATAGAGACATTAAAAAAAAAAAAAAGAGGGAAGGAAATAATTAACAAGCAGCCAACCAATATTTCACTTAAACCTGTAAATATGTGTGATGTAGTACTGATAAGAGTGTATATTTTGTGTATTTAAAGTGCAGAGTTCTATGAATGTTAATTAAATCTACTTGTTCTGGATCTGAGTTCAAGTCCTGGATATCGATGTTAACTTTCTGTCACATTGATCTGTCTAATATTGATGGTGAAGTCTCTCACTATTATTGTGTGGGAGTCTAAGTCTCTTTATAAGTCTTATGTATCTGGGTATTTCTGTATTGGGTGCATATATATTTAGGATCTTTAGCTCTTCTTGTTACATTTTATCTTTATGTAATATCCTTCTTTGCTTCTTTTGATCTTCGTTGCTTTGAAATCTATTTTATCAGCAAAAATTGCAACTCCTGCTATTTATTTATTTTTGCTCTCCATTTGACTGGTAAATTTTTCTCCATCCCTTTGAGTCTTTGTGTATCCTTGCATGTGAGATGGGTCTGGATGTAGCATACCAATGGGTCCTGGAGTTTTTTGCCTGTCTGTGTCTTTGGATTGGGGGATTTAGTCGATTTAAATTTAGAATTAATAACAATATATGTGTGTTTGATACTGCCATTTAATGTTAGCTGACTGTTTTGCCCATTAGTTGATGCAATTTCTTAATTATGTTGATGTTCTTTAT